GCGTGTGCGTGTGCGTGTGCGTGTGCGTGTGCGTGTGCGTGTGCGTGTGCGTGTGCGTGTGCGTGTGCGTGTGCATGTGCGTGTGCGTGTGCGTGTGCGTGTGCGTGTGCGTGTGCGTGTGCGTGTGCGTGTGCGTGTGTGCGTGTGCGTGTGCGTGTGCGTGTGCGTCCCCGCCTGCGGGCAGTCCCTGGCCAAAGCTCGAGAGCAAGAACCAGTGACAGCCTGTACGTCACTGAAAGCCACAGGGGCCTGCCCCCGTGTGTGTGTGTGTGTGCGTGTGTGTGTGTGTGAATTGTGTGTGTGAATGTGTGTGTGTGCCTCTCTCTCTCCCTCCCCCCAGTGCAATCACATAGCCTCCCCCCAGCAGTAGGAGAGGGGAGGAGGTAGGAAGGGAGGACGGAGGAGGAGGAGAGAAGGAGGGGAACCAGGAATGAGGAAGGGGTGGTGGAGGAGGAGGAGGAGGAGGAGGAGGAGGATTACCCCTCCACGTCGTGACCGCATGGGAGCTGACCTCTCCCTACGACGATGACCGATATGAGACGAAACTTTCTGAGAATCGGTGGCTTTGGAGGATGTATCGGGCTCCACGGCTGTTTCAGTGTATTCCAGAACGAACGCTCTGAGAGCGAACGGATTTACCTCGATTCTAGGCCCGTCCGATCTCCCCCCCAGAATACAACAACGACCGGATAGAGGCCGGGTTGTTGCTCTTCACGACATGTTCGGGCCAAATCCAGCATACGCCCACGCAGAAGAGGAGGCAGTAGGCGACGTAGCACGCCACCAACGCCCCGATGTACAGGGACATGGCGGCGGCGCTAGCACGCCACCAGCACCGCGCTGAGCACCGACATGCCGGCGGCGCCCCCGGCGGGAGGCTCGAGCGAGACCAAGAGGTAAACATGGCAACCTCCCCAAGAGCTACTCCTCCATCCGTCACCCGTGGCCCCCTCTCCCTCCTCCTCCTCCTGCTGCTCCTCATCCTCCTCCTCCTCCTCCTCCTGCTCCTTCACCTCCTCCACCTCCTCCCCCTCTGGGGCCAGTTAGAAGCCATCCGCACCTTGACCGGTGCAATCCAGCCATCAGCCCCCTGGACTGTGAACTGATATCCAGGTGGTAATAAAGATCAAGAGACCTGCCAATCCCCATGTGGGGTCCAACAGGCTACGAAGCGTAGACTGTCCAGTTCCCTGCACAAGTTCCAGTTCCAAATTCTACATCTAGATTTTGTCTTTTCTGGGTCCACTGTGGAGGGAACGCGAGTGAGGGGGAGCCCGAAAAGGACGCTCCCCCTCCCGGAATCGGGTTGCCTGAGTTCATGGGGGTGCCCTGGGACACATCAAAGTACATTCGATTAGCGCTCCCGAAGCCAAAATCCCTCGTACATTACGTCACGCTCGCGCTCGCGAGGCCACAATCCGTTTACACATTCGCAAGAATCATTTACAAATTGCTACGTACCTGCGCCCCCGCAACCACACCCTCTGGTGCATTACGCTAGGTGCGCGCTCTCCCAACCACAATCCGTGGAAAATCCAAAACACCACTCCCCAAACCAGAGATCCCTGGCATGTTGATCACTGATTCGATAGGGATTTTCGATGCAGCTTCGGAATCTGAGTCACCGCAGCTAGGGTTGCGCAGTGCCAGGAGTGGCGAGGACCCCCGCGCCAGCAAGGAGAATATTCTGCGCTCGGGCGATACTTTACGTTGGGTAAAAGGTCTGGGCATGCTGGCTGCCAATCTGACCAAGCCAGGCTATCCAGCCCGACACGTGATGGAGAATTGTTTGATGCGACGCTATTGGAAGTGCAGTATTGACGAGATGTTCCAGAGTGATTGCAAGCGTCAGAAGCTAGAGAAAGGTGCGTTTGGCATCGAGGCGACGAATTTTCCTAGAGGTAATGGTGGAGATGACGCTGTTTGAGAGGCATCGCTGGAGCGTTTGCTGGAGAATGATTGTCGTTCAGAGGCAGTTCGGGGCGGGATGCGCGATCGGTACATGGAGGAGAAAACATATGGCACGTGTCAGACGGGGTCTAGTGTCCTACCCCGTCGCGACTCCCCTCGGAGTGCCTGGACCAGCGCTTCCCTCGAGACATTCCCAAATCCGATATGACAGCACATGAGTCGGGGGCGCAGAAACAAGCAAACCGCCCGAGGCATCCCCGCAATCTGGGCGGTAGGCTGGGGAAGGAAGGGGAAGGGGGGCCCCTGGCAGCTCCCCCCTGGGGAGCTGCGGCCAGCGCCGCGCTCGAGACATCCTCGCAGCCTGCGAGTCTGAGCGCGGGTGCGTCGCAAGTCTGGCAGAGGCCCTGGAAATAGGCCTGCATGTGATTGAGTCAGAGTCCGGGGGTGAATGAGGCGGAGTGTGGGCGTCCTGAATATATGTGGGTTTCACTGCGCGTGGGCCTGAGCGCGAGTGATTCTGAATGCTAGTAAGTCTTCGCGCGCGTCTGATTCTGAGAAAGTGCGAGCGCGAATGATTATGAACATTAGTGAGACTGCGCAATGAAGAGGAGGGAGCACGGGAACAGTGGATGACGGAAGGAGAGGGGTCGGGGGCGCCCAAATAAAATCAGCAACGAGACAATTGAATACGGGGGTCACATGTGCGCGCGGTTTCGTGCGATTTACATGCGCAAAACTATCGAAATGCATGATGTGGGCGCGCTCACTTGCAGGTCATTGTATAGCCTTGTCCAATCGTCCAATCGCCGTATCGTCGCCCGATCGTCTCAAAGTCGCCACATCGTCCTACAACCGCCCCATAGGTATGTAGCCGTCCAATTGCGCAATCGTCGCCAAGCCTCTCCGTCGCCGTCGGTCGCCCCGCAATCGCCGTATCTTCCATCCGCCAGATCGTCGGGTCGCCCCATCCACATGTGGCCATATCGCCCTACCGTCCGATCGCCACTAGCCTGGCCGAAGCGCCCGACCAACAGCCACGTGAGCCGATTGACACACATCCACAGCAGTATCCGCGGAACCGCCGCTGACTCGGGCGAAGCGCGCCCGTCAGACTTGCTGGCGCGGCCCAGGCAGCCGCGCTGGAACTGCGCGCGGACACTCAAACATTGGACTGGCGGAAACAATTCATGCCACTTGCATTCGGAGCTCCACCTGAGACTACATGGTGTGCAACACCTCTTTCATCCAATTGCGAACCAATTGGACGTCGATAGCTGAATTGCGTACACCAAATGTTTCGCTTGCACTATGTGCCCCACGATGGGATGTTATAGTGTAAAGAGAATACGTTCTTGTTTCGCCCGGCTTAATTTCGAACGCCGGACGGCGAAACAATATAGTTGCATGTACATGCTGGACCCAACACAACGTTACATGTGTATTGTGACATCTTGCACTTTTCTCAACGCACCCCCATTTAACTCCGTTGTGTTTCTGGCGTTGTGGGCCCGGATATGTGTTGCTATCGCGAGGCCATACGCAATTCATACTGCGCAACAACTTAACATCGAAAACTGAACGGTGAAACACATGTCGATACGTATATGACGAGCCTCAACAGTGACATGGCGCTTCCCTATCTGACCAACTAACCCTTATCGAACGATAATACCCCCCTGGGATAATAAAGTTGGCGGTTCCCGCGGGGATACAACAAGGACTTTCCCAGGGAAGGTAAGTTGTGTTTTTGTTTTGGGTTTCCCCCTCTCCCCAGGGCAGGCTTCTTTGTCGTCCGTAGTTGCTGAAGAAAGCGGCAGGGCATGGGGCGCCACCAGAGGCACCCACGCGGGGCACCCACCTGGCCGCGCCGTCCCCGACAAGGGCCAGACCACCGAAGCCCCCCCCCCCCTCTGAGCCCTGAACGCGGAGGTATGCAGCATCGCCAGAGGCGCCCACGAGAGGCACCCACCTGGCCGTGCCGGCCCGTAAAAGGGCCAGACCACCGAAGCCACCCCCTCCGATTCACAACCAAAGATAACCGTCGGGCCAAAACATACCCCCGCACAGCCAGTTACAAATTGAATTGGAAACCGAAATGAAGGACCTAGACATAGAGGTCCCAATGGGAGCACGAAGTGAGGCGTGCATCTCAGATGTGAGTCCGCTCGCCCTGAGCATCTGCCGACAGAGGGCCTGCTCAGATACGCCGCCAGGAGGGTCAGCGCGAACGAAGTCCCCCGCCCGCGCAAGGGAAATGCTCAGGACGAGCACCTGCATCAGGAAGTGGCTCGAGAGACACACCGCCAAGAGGACCGTCCCACCATGAGCAGAGAGAGCCGCGTGAGCAACGTCGTACTTGTCCAAGACATGGGGGAAATCAGCAAGAGACCGCTGGAAAAGTGCGCGAAGCTCGGCATTGAATATCAGGGCCCGCCGCCGCTCAGCAGCTGGGGCACAAAGTAGAGATCGACGACAGAGCCAGGCACGACAGTGACGAATTTCAGAAGACGCTGCCCCGCGAATAGCAAGCTTCTCCCACATAGCTCGCGCATCTCGAGCTCCACCAACATCTGCAGCAAGAGGATCGGCACTCGGAACTCCGTCGGAGAGAGCAGGAAAGGCAGGCAGGGCCGGCAACCGTACATGAGAAGGTCCGCGACCATCGCGACGGCCACGATCAGCGGGAAACGCGCGTCCATCAGGAAGAGCTCGGCAGACAGGAATGCGAGGCCAATTTACATGCACCACCACCGCCCGCAACAATACTTTCCCGCCCAGAGAATTAGGGGCAGGGTCATGCCAGACGACGCTGCGACGCCACGGCGAAAAGGGGCGCGGCGCAGCTCGCAGGCGCCGTGGCATGGGGAGTACCTGAAGCAGAAACAGCACTTCTTGGTGGTGGTGTATAAAAATCGCCCCCCTGGTAACCAAAATTATATACGCCACCAACGCGCGTGCTTTGATGAATATTGTTTCGGTCCTTAAGAGAGAGAGGGGGGGCAAACCGGTTGCCGCTGGCGGCGGGGGGGGGGGGGGGGCCTGCGGGCTTTTCGCCAGAGCAGAACTGCACCAAATCGCATCGTATATTATTATCGATCTTGGTGGTGGTAGTCAGATACTGTGCTCGGAAGGAGGCCAAGTGCCATCAGGAGGCGCACGTCCATCAGGAGGCGCACATCCATCAGGAAGCGGACGTCCACCAGGAAGCGCTCGCCCATCAGGAAGCGCTCGGCAACCAGGAAGCGCGCGTCCATCAGGATGCGCGCGTCCAAGCCAAATACCTGCAGCAGCACGAGACTCCGCAGCACCATCCGCGCGAAGCTGCCGACGAAGTGCCTTGCGAGGTGGGGCCAGCGAGACCCGAGCAGCAGCCGACCAAGGATCACCAACATCTGGATCAGACCAAAGACCATCTTGCCGGTCCCGATCTCCACGAGGACGCCGGTGCCAATGGCGATAGTATCCGGACCAGGCTTGGCATCATCGTCACCGTCGTAATCATAATGAACGCCATGGGCACCAGGCGCACGACGTAGTACAAGAAAAACGCGATTATCACCAGAGCTCTTCTTGTGGCCGTGGTCGTTGGATGGCAATGTAATCATGCAGCCTGCGAGCCGCGGCAGCGATCAAGTCGATGAGGGCGCGGCTCGCCATGCCAGGGCGGGCAGCCGGCAGAAGCACCACATGCGCCAGACGACGACCACGGTGCGACGAGAAACGCACTCGTCCCTGCCGCCCTTCGCAAGGCTGCCAGAGGACCCAGTCCAAACGAGCTGCGACCACCATCGCGCGCGCCGACGGAGCTGCAAGTGCAGCAGGGAGGCCTTGACCCAAGCACGTGATTGAGCCAGAATGGCTGATGATGACGACGTGGATGGATGGAGATCCTGGGCGCCCCGCGCAAGGCTGACACGGGAGATCGTTCTGCCGGCAGGCGCGCGCCGCAAGGCTGACTCCAGAGACATCGAGGCTCGCAGCTGTGCAACACGCCAGCCGGCGTGGAGGAGGAGGGCGAGGTGATGGTGGTGATGATGATGGTGATGACGACGATGATGGAGGAGGAGGAGGAAGTTAAACCAGGCGCACAACGGAAGCCAGACTCGAACGACCTCTTGGCTCGCGGCGACTTGCCCGCAGAGGCGCGCTACGCAGATATTACTCGAGAGATCTCGAGGCTCGCGGCTACTTCCCCGCAGAGGCGCAGGACACCAGGCTGACTCGAGCGATCCCGAGGCTCGTGGCTGGGCGCCTAGATTGTGCCAGCGCAAGAGAGGTCCTTGGCCGATCTGGCCAAGAAGCCCCTCCTGCGCTGGATTTCGAACCACCCCCCCACGCAGGCGCGGCATCCTTTGGGGCCGTCCTTGCATGGGAGACACTTGGTGCAAAGCCGGGCGGCGGCGCTAGCCTCCTCGCAGGTGGCGCACTTCGGCTCGGCCGCCGCGGGGCCCTTGCAAGGCTTGGGCTTGTGCTTGGCCTTGGCCTTGGCCTTGGCCATCGCCGCGTCGTTGTCGCTCGCCCCCCTGAGTTTACTGATGAACTCGTTCCCTCGAGCGACCACGGCGCGGGGAGCTGCTGGCACTTGGCGGCCCTCGCCTCGGATCTCGCGCAGGGCGCTCTCGATCCAGCGACTTTAAATTTCCCAAAGGCCGCAGTTCCAACCGTCTATTTGGCACCGTTTGTTGCTCGGTGCTGGCAATGCTCGCCAGGGCCAATGGCGCCGAGCTTACGGAGGATCCTCGCGGCGGCCTCGGGCGGCCACCCTTCCCGCGATTTCCGCGGGGGAGGAGGGCGGGATGCACTTCGCTCGGCAGCTCCCGAGCAAAGTGAACAGCACCTCCCCCCTCAGAAATCGTGGTGCGTAGGCGTGAATTCGCACGTGGCCCATGTGGGCCTGCTTGGCGTTCTCGGACGGCTGCTTGAAGGCGTCGCGGTAGTTCACCTCGACGCCGCCCCCGTCGATCCTCGAGACCTGGCGGGAATTGCCGCAAGTGCCCCCTGCCCAGGGCGCCTCCAGGATTCGCTCCAAACCGGGGCGAAACGCTGGAGACACCCTGGGGCGGGGGGGCATTGCAGCAACCGCCGACCTTGAGGTGCGCGTAGTGCGCGGGCGCCTCTGAGTGCACGCAGACCAGCACGTGCTTGGCCTTGTCGACCCTCTCGGCCCAGCGCTTCTGCCCCTCGGGCTGCTGGGCGGCGGGTGCGTCCTCGCCCTGGCCCTCTCGAGCCCAGGCGACGGCCGCCGCGGGCTCGACCGCCAGCACGTTGTCGGGGACGCCCGCTCGCTCCTCGATCCCGCCCAGCAGCGCGCGCGCCGTGCCCAGCTCGAGGGCGTCGCCCTTGACGATCTGCTCGCAGTTCATGATCGCGCACTCCTTGGCGAGCGCGGTGCGGCGAGCGTGTCTTGTCTGGCGCCAGTCGAGCTTCTGCGGCCTGGGGGACTTGCAACCCTGCGCGATCGTGACCTGTGGCGCTCGGGATGCGCAGGCGTTCGTTAGCTTCCGCCTGCTTCCGCTTCGCGTTGCTTCCGCCTGCTTGCCTGCGTCCGCGCTTCGCGTTGCTTCCGCCTGCTTCCGCTTTCCTTTCTCTTCCTGTCTGCAAGCTTCCGCCTTCTTCCGCCGCCCCAGGCAGAAGCAGGCGGAAGCTAACGAGAGTGCCTGCGACCCTCGAACCTCGAAGCCTCGCTGCTGTTGATATGGAAGATCGCCGCGGTCTCCGCCTCGAGGACGCGCAGGCGGTGCTCGTTCTCGGTGCCCAGGTCTTGCCAGACGTCCTGCGCTCTGCCGCGCCAGCCCTCGCGGCTGCCCCCCTCGGTGACGCGCGCCACCTTGTCGTGCCACGGGGGCCCCTCGCAATCCTCGAGGCCGCCTTTCTGCTTGGCCCTATCCTGCTTCTTGGCGCCCTTCTCCGCTTGCTTCTTCTGCTTGAACATCGCGGAGGAGCTCGCGCGCGGCTTCGGCGCCCTGCCCGCGAGCTTCGCCTTGGCCACGCCTCTGCCGAGATGCTCGAGCGAGGTCTCGCCGCCAGCCTTGTCCTTCTCGCGCTGCCACTTGCGAGCGTGCTTGCCCAGGAACTGGCCCGCGAACTTGGGCGCCCACCTGTGCTTGCCTGTATTTGTCCGTTTCAACTCCATCCTGTTCTCGAGGGCGCGCGGGAACTTGATGTCCTTGATCCGCTCCTCTGGCGGTTTGAGCATGTCCTCCTGCTCGTCGGCGAGCTCGATGTCCAGCTCTCGGAGCTCCAGGAAGCAGGGGTTCTCGCCCCCCTCGTAGTCCCTCGGCAAGTCGTCGTCGTGGAAGCAGTCGCCGTCGAGGACGCTCCACTCGGGCACTGGCGGCGCGCCCTCGGGCCAGCTCTGGGTGCCCTCGAGGCGCTCTTTCGCCAAGCTGTTCTCGATGCCGCAGCCTGCCTCGGTGGAGTAGCTCCATGGCCCCATGCCCGCGACGACCTTGAGCTCGCCTTGCTCTGTCGGCCGGAGCACGAGCATCCGGTTGGCTCGCATCCCTTGGAGTGGCCCCGCGCCCATGCTCTGCTCGCGGAAGCGGGCGCAGGCCTCGGAGATGCAGTAGAGGCACTCGTAGGGCCCCCAATGCGTCGGAGACTTGCACTCCTGCTGGGGCTCGGCCTTGGCCTTCTGGAGCCAGTCTTGCTCCATGGACCAGTGCGCCTCGGCCTTGGCCTCTAGGATCTTGGCATTGAGCTGGCTGCGGTCGCGGCCGTCGGGCTCCTGCAAGAAGCTCATGGCGTCGGGGGCCATGGGCGCGTAGATGATATTCTTGAGCCACGCTCGCAGCGCCACTGCCTCGGCCCACTGGCCCGAGAGGCAGTCTGCGAACACGAGGCTCTGGCCGTGCTCCTGCTCGATGAAGTCGATGGTCCAACTTGCCACCAGCTCGTCCGCCCAGGCTCTCGGCCGCCCCCGCGCGTCGATGGCCTCGAAGACCACCGCGCGTTCCGCCTCGGAAAACTCGAGCAGAGCGTTGCGCCAGCCCTTGAGCAATGCTCCCAGGGGCTCGCCTGCTCAGAAGCGCTCCGCCTCGCCATCGCCCCGCTCGTAGGTGGCGTCTCGCCGCCAAGTGCCCTCCTCGAGGTTCACGTCGCTGACTCGGCAGTGCCTTGCGCAAAGGACAAGGGGCACGCTGCGCTTCTTGGCGGAATTCGGCCCCCTGCTCGGGTCGAACCAGTTCTCGACCGCGGAGACGCTGATCAGGGTGATCCTGTACTTGTCTCCTGCGCTCGAGTAGGCCTGCCCCACGTGCTCCTTGTGGTCGGGGTGGTCTGCCATGTTCCTGGCCTTCTCCGCCTCGAAGGCTGCCTTGTCCTGCTCGTTGCGCGTCTCGCGGAACTTCTCGCGGAGGTTCGCGAGGCGCTTCTTGGCGCCCGCGGCGTGCACCTTTTGGGCGCTTGAAATGCGCGCAGAAAGAATGAATGCAATGCCCGACAACAACTGTTGCGCCGAAGCAACAGCGGCCGCTGTTGGGCAGGCGGCCTTCGGTCTCGAACAGGCGCAGGCCGCGGCGACACCGACAGCGAATCCTGTCCAAAATGAACAGGAACTGCTGTTGGGCACTGCACCCTTTCCTTCCGCACCCATTTCGCTCGCGCCGAGACCTCGGTCTCGTGGGCGCACAGTTGCTCCTTGCGCGTGAGCTTGAGCCAGAGCGCGGCGGCGTCGACGACGACCGCGCTCGCGCCGGCCTCGCGCTCGGCGAAAGTCTCGGGGCCCCCGCGGAAGAGGCGGAGGTCCTCGGAGCCGCCCCTCGCCACCCAGTGCACGACCCCCTAGGTGGTTGTAGTAGTAATGGTAGTGATATGACGACTACTACTACTACTACCACTACTACCACTGCTACTACTACTGCTGCTACTACTACTACTACTACTACTACTACTACTACTACTGGTACTACTACTACTACTACCACTACTACTACTACTACTACTACTACTACTACTACTACTACTACTACTACTACTACTACAACTAATACTCAAACAAATACTAATACTAGAAGTACCTGGTAGTAGTACCTTGTAGTAGCAGTAGTAGTAGTAGTAGTAGTAGTACTTGGTAGTACTACCTAGAAGTAGTGCCTACTATTAGTAACTGGTAGTAGAACCTGGTAGTAGTAGTAGTCCCTGGTATTAGTAGTACCTGGTAGTAATAGTTCCTAGTAGTAGTAGTAGTAGTAGTAGTAGTAGGTAGTAGGTAGTAGTAGTAGTAGGTCGTAGTAATAGAAGTACTGGTAGTAGTAGTACCTGGTAGTAGTAGTAGTAGTAGTAGTAGTAGTAGTGGTGGTAATAGTCCTAGTAGTAGTCGTAGCACATGGTAGTACATGGTAGTAGTAGTAGTAGTAGTAGTAGTAGTAGTAGCAATGGTCAGTAATCGTAGTGGTAATAGTAGTAGTAGTAGTAGTAGTAGAAATAGTAGTAGTAGTAGTAGTAGTAGTAGTAGTAGTAGTAGTAGTGGTAATAGTAGTTGCAAATATTAGTAAGAATGCTAAGACTATCTAGTAGTGGCCAAGTCGTTGTCGCTGGCCTCCTTTCGCTGCCGCGGGCGCGCATCGTGCGTTTGGCGGCCTTCGCCCTCGCATGTGACAGTTAC